ATATATAATATATATAACATAAATATACTTTAAGCAAACTCTAAGCCCAACATGGGGCTTGAACTTACGACTAGGAGACAGAGTCGATGCTCTACCAACTGAGTCGGCCAGGCACTCCTCTCCTTTTTTTTGTAATGAGTACATGTGGTTGAATTCTCAAATATTAAATGCCGGTACAATTCAAGTTTACCACCTACCAAACAAAAAACGCTGGTTGTCTGTTGACCAAGATGGGAAAGCGTATGGCGGGCGAGTGTCCCTAAGGCTCATGTGGACCTTCTGGGGGAGCAGCCTCCACCTTTAGACAAGTCTCTACTGTCAGACGAGCCACACGTAAGCTGCTGGCCGATCAAGAAGATGCCTGGAGAATAACCTAATGTTGTGGGCTCACTCTATCATCTTGCTTCTTGGAATACAAATGACTTATTTATAAACGGCATCATGCGCCCCGCAGCCCTCGAAGGGAGGCTCAAGAGAAGAGCCACAGTCAGGAAACGCACGTCATCCCCTCAGTCTGCCCGAGAAAGAAAGGACACCCGCTTGTGGGACTCTATTCTAGCTGCAGAAGAGACAGGCACACGGGTGCTGACGCAAGACCTGAAGGACACAAAGCCACGTGCCATGCTGAGTGGGAGCGCCAAGTTCTGGTGGCAAAACCCGCTCTGAGCAGGCGCTCCTTCTGGGCTCTGCAAGCACCGCAAAGCTGGAAGGGGTGAGGAGGCTCCTTGTGAAATGACGAGGCCCATTTAATCTGCATGAGGGGCTAATCAATGTCCTAAAATCCAGCAACTTACACAATGTCCTATAAGAATTCACACAAACTGAGAGGTGCCTGTGTGGCTCAGTCGGTTAAGCGTCTAACTCGATTTTGGCTCAGGTCGTGATCTCAGGGTTTGCGGCATTGAGCCCTGCGTCAGGATCTGCGCTGACAGCGTGGAGCCTGCTTGGGACTCTCTCTCTCCTTTCCCCACCTGTCTGCCCTTCCCCGGCTTTCTGTCTCCAGTAAGTAAACATTAAAAGCCAAAGAATTCCCACAAGTTGACCACGGGGGCCTACCTAGCTGGGAAAGGTCCAGCCTCGTCCAGTGCATGCCTGTGGGGCAGCTCTTGGACAGCGTCCGGATGAACACCTGGCCGAGGCTGTCCAGGGCCCACAGGGCGTCCTGGCAGGCGGCGTAAGCCCTCATCTCGGCGTCGGGAGGCAGCTGCACCGTGGAGGGGCGGGACTGAGCGTTCTGGGCGCTGACGCTGCACAGGTCCTTGCTGCTCTGGCACAGCCACAAGGAACTTCCTGCGGAAAAGGTTCATGTTCGTCACTGGAGAAACGCACAAGGCACCCCGGCCTCTGGGCAGGCGACACCCGACAGCTCCCAGCGCGGCTGCGCAGCAGGCTCGCTCTGTGTGCTTTACATCAGAGGTCACAGGCGCACCCCATGGCCAGCCAGTTAAGAGACAAGCCTGAGATGTTCTAAAGGGAGGAAAGAAAGCAGGGCTTATGAGATCTGATGAAGGCTACAAAGTGGGCTCAGTGGCTCCGACCTCGGATGTTCTGTAAGGGCTGGAGAGTCTTTGATTTGGCTGTGCCTGGTGCTCTGGAGGGAGGGACGTCAGCGATTCCTCAGAAAGACGGAACCAAAGCTCCCTTAGTCTTGTCTTGGTGGAGGGGGTGGGCGGGCAGGGAGGCTTGGGAAGCCGGAGGGCCTCCTCTCCTCCCCAGCCTCTCCTCAAAATTCACCCTCTCTTCCTCCTCACCATTTGTACAGTCCTTCAGGCTTAACAGGTTCAGTTTAAAATGCAGACAACCTCTGGGAAAGTCAGAACCTCTGTGAGAACACATTGTCTAAAACCTGTGGCCAGATAGGTTTAAGAATTCAAGTATTTTTGGGTTTTGAATACCTAAGGTGTTGGGCATGCCACAAATTTAAGTAACAGCCTCAGGGAGCCAGGCAGCCACGAAACGCAGTACTGTTCCTGCCACAGGCCTAATTGGTGGCAGAAATAAGCAGCCTCACGTCGGGTTCAGGTCAGGTTTTGTTGCCAAATGAATTCGTGCCAATCTCAGGAGAGAACCCATGCTTTTCGGAGCTTACAGATTTCAGAACCGTGGTCAGAGTGATCAGGCAAGAAAACATTTTACTGTACAGACAAGTTAGCCAAATCCTAGTGGGACTAACGGCTTGACTACCCAGCTGTCTTGTCTGGACCACAGGCCTCTCGGCATCTGCCCGTCCCGCCCCCGGGGCGATCCTAGATGGAGCCTTCTGCCACTTCCCAGCGGGGCTACCTGACTGCCTGGGCTCTCAGCTCCCTGGGCAGCTGCACTGCCTCTCCCAGCTCCAAACCCCACGCTCTGGGAGGGAGGGGCGCCCTGAGTGGAGTTGCAGGAGGTCTGCCTCTGCAGGGGAGGCCTGCCCTAACACGGCACAACTAGCCGGAGGCTGAAAACCAGGCTGAAAGAGGTTACCGGGAGGTGACGGAACACTTCCCAGGGGGAAATGGGAAGACACCCAGAGAACCCTGGTGCCCACTGGCTGCAGTGCTCTGGACCCTGACATGTCGCTGGAGTCTCCAGCTGTGGCTCTGGTGGGACACCAATTGTTTCTCTCCTTTGAAATGGTGTTTTGCCTGTGGACTCACTCGATGTCCCCACACTAGACCCTCTCTCCTGGTCAGGCCTATCCAGCTTCGGGGGCCGTGGCTCAGCCGACAAGGGATGCTTGTCCGTGAAGCCACTGTACCATCTCTGAGGCCTACCCAGCCACACGCCATTGCAGCAAGGCCACGGTCAGACCATGGCTTTCACCTTGCAACAGCCAACCCATGCACTACATTTCTCAACCAACCTTCTTTTGTGGGAGCAGTGGAAGCCAGCACAAAGGCCCATTTTGTTGCAGAAGCTGTCCCTCGGGGAACAACATTATTCCAGTAAGTGCCTAGAAGGAATACGAAGTGTGTTAAAGAAAGAAGAAAACACACACACACCAAAGCTCTGGTTCGGGACAACTGTTTTTCAAACCTCTTACAGCTAATTCTAGAGTGCCCTTAGATTAGGAGGTCCACACCAGTGCTGTGAGGCCAGTCCCTTTTTCCTTTCTATGCTGACAAGCAGAGCCCAGTCCTGCCCAGGGTCAGCTGGGTGGGTGGGTGGGTGAGATGTGCAGAGGGAGGTGAGCTGGAAAAAATGCACAAAGCTGGGCTTCACTCACAGAAACGAAGTCCTCGTGGGTACACGTGGATTCTTAACGACACTCACAGATCTCGTCAGAGCCTTCATTCCCCACAGTGAAAGAACTTTTCCTCTAGTAAATGGACTATTCTGTCTTACTGAGCACTGTAGTTTGGGTGCGCTTTTTCATTTGAATGTGAAATTATGAACATAAAAATGAGCTCCATCTGCCGTTTCTATATCATCACAGATTCCCAGTAGAAACTGATCACACACCAGCCAAATGCTGGTACCCAAGTTGCAGGAACGACAGATTAAAAAAAAAGGAAACTGATACAAAGCATAAAGAACGTCTCCGTTACAAACACTTCACACACTGGCACCAAATTATCTTCTGAAGTTGAGATCTTAAAGCTTTTGTTTCAGTGCTGGCTTTAAAGTGAAGCTGCCAATCAAGTCAACGTAAAAAGACAAGTAATTCACCCACCGATGAGATTTCCTTTAGCGACATGGAATTCGTTCTTGCCTGAGGAGATCCAGACGCCACTGTTGTTGACCCCGAGAAGGCTTGGCTGGCACTGAAGCTGCTGAGACCAAAAGGCCATGCGCAGTTTATCCGCCACCTTTTCGACAGGCACCTGGGCTGCGGTGGCCACCGAGTGCGTGGCATGGATTATGGTCTGGAATAAGCTGCACTGGTCGAACACCACGTAGTCTGTGATGCTCACCTGGAGGGGACGGAAAGACACCCCGCTCTCAGCGGTCACAAGCGCCCTCCCCCTGTGCACGGACAGTGAGGCTCGGCCCTCGTGCGGCAACACCTGACACACGTGTGCACGTGCCCACTGTGTCAGCACCGAAGCAAGGCCGGCAGGACGCTACCAGACCACCAGCTGTAGCTGATTCTGAGGGTCGGATTTAGAGGGATGGCAGAAAACGTTCCCTTCTGTTTTCTACATTTTCATAGGATATGGACCGTCACAACAGCATGTATTACTGTTGTGATTACCTGTGACCCCCTCAGGCCCCCAAAGCCTTTTATTCTAATCAGTGAGAATGGGTGATTTTGCTTTCAAAGTTAGGTATTTCAAACAGACAACAGTGTGCGGTCCTCAGAATCACAACTCGGGTCAAACGAGGTATTGTAAGTAGGGTTACAGTCTAAACTAGGACTGTCAGTTATTACACCAGTTCAACAGCACGAGCTGGGACTGCCCTGGACGTGAAGGGCACACCCTGGTTCACGTGTGCAAGCTGCTTCTCTGACATTCCCGAAAGACACTCTCCAGGGCGCCTCTGGGGAGAGCCTCTCCCTGTTCGGCAGCTCTGGTTGTGAGAAAGTTCTTTCTAAGATGGTCAAAATCTGATTCCCTGTGACTGTCATGTATACGTCTGCCCCGTCGAGCTGGATTATAGAGAATGTCGCTCCCCTACTCCTAGGACAGCCTTGTGCAGGCCACATTCCCAGGTCACACACAATCGAGTGAAAGGGACGTCATTTATCATAGGGAACTTAATTTATAATAAACAAAACCAAACAAAAAGGGAATTACCGCAATACTCGGTACTTAAGTGTACAAATCTGTTTTTTAAATCCAGGAAAGGATGAGCCGCCGCCCTAACTGAAGTTTAAGTGAACGTCAGACCACATCAGGACCCCGTGGCCCCACTTCCTACTGTCGGTAAGCGCTCCGCCGGCCCGGCTGGGTGGTCTCCATCACAGCCCACAGAACGCTGGGCACCCAGCTCCGGGGTTCACGACGCACACTGCTGTGTGCCGGCCCAGCGAGCTCTGTTCTTCCTTGGGAGTGCACACGCCAAGGCCACGCAGCAAGTCGGTGACAGACTGCCTTAGCACCCCACACTTGCAGATAAGCAAGATGCATATTAAAAAAAAGAAAGGTTTAGCAGCCAAACATAAAGCTGGCTCTAGAGCTACAGAGAAATCGGTCTCACGGTAATTAGAATAACTACGCTTCCAAATACCTCGTAGAGGATTCTGTCAAATTAAAGTTCTCTAAAGATAAGGTTCTCAATATTATGGTAAATGGTATCTAACTTTCTTTAGGTTATTTAAAAATGGAATTGGGTACATACATACATGAGAGACAGAGTGTGTGTGTGTGTGTGTGTGTGTGTGTGTGTGTGTATAACCATACAATACAGTTACAAGCATGGAGAGGATATTTTGAAATCATTTGTATGACCTCTCAGGTAGTATCTGACATATCAAATTAGAGACATACGTACACATATACTTACTCATTAAATAGCAAACACAACTTATTTTTCACATTCTCATTCAAAAGACCTAAGCGCCACTAATGAAAGAACTACCTTCAACACAGCAAGTCTGAGGCAACAATAAAACCTGAACCTGGTTTTATTTTGCAACCCGACTGGGTGGCTCAGTCGGTTAAGCGTCTGACTTCGGCTCAGGTCATGATCTCGCACTTCGTGGGATCGAGTCTCACGTCGAGGTCTGTGCTGACACAGCTCAGAGCCTGGATCCTCTGCTTCAGATTCTGGGTCTCCCTCTCTCTCTGCCCCTCCCCTGCTCATGTTTTGGCTCGCTCTCTCTCAAAAAATTAAATAAACATTAAAAAAAATTTTTAAACCTGAACCAGTGGAGACAAACACTGAAGAGACATTGCTTATTTTTCAACTGCTGAGGGTCAGAACAACCTTGCCGATGGGAGCAGGAGGCGGGGGGGCGGGGGGGGGAGGGCAGCTATAGTTACACTGAACGGTACCAAAGAGGAGAAGGGACAACTTCTTTGAAAATACGTTCTAGGCCACTCTGGCTGTGACCGAGTCACGAAAAGTTAGCTTGCTTATACCCTTCTATGACGCAGAGTGTTTCCTTTTCTGGGAACACGTGGGAACATTCTCCTTTCTTTGTTGAAACACTGCCTGCTTAGAGGCCTTGAGAGCAAGCGGAGAGAGATGAATTCGAATTGCAGGTTGGGTTTCCAAACCCACCGTCTAGCTCTTCCTAAACATCATCATTACCTAGGTCTTCCCTGGGCTTGTTTAGCACGTGAGGATAAATTGCTAAGCAACACCGAAACAAAAAAAGAAACAATAAACAAAGCCTGTAAATTTAAGCGAAGAGAGCTTTGTAAGTTATCTCCTACAACGAAAAGCCCTTGATATTTCTAATGTGCTCAAATATAGCGAAGTTTAACTCATCAAAGAGTAAAGAGTGAGTGTTCTTAATTCAGTCCAACCTTCCCAGTCTCTTTACGGAGAAGACAAGGGCTATAAACGGGGAGCAGAGCTCCCAACCCGGGGAGACACTCTGGCCAGTGGCCCTGGAGCTGAGTACCTACTTGCCACCAATGGTCGTCATCTCCCTGAGGCTTCTTGGAAACGATGCCGGTCCTGAACCACAGGTTTCCTCGGATGTCCAGGGCCCACAGAGTCTGCTGGTCCCCGAGAGTTATACAGACAGGTTCCAAAGCCTGCCTTTCACTGGGAACGGGAGAGAACACGGGAGTCAGCACCCACACTCCAAGCGCCCAGCGTGACTAGGAACGTGGCAATCAAGTGTCTCCTGGCTGGGTCTGGACCCCACCCACAAGTTCCAAGGACAGAAGGTCCAGTTTTGAGTCACATTACTGTGCAGTTATGTTGTTTAAATGTGTGGCAGGTTCTGAAAGACATACTGAAGACCCGGCCCGGGAGGGATGAGAAAATACCCTACAAGAAAATGCAGGCACCTAAGGGACGCGAGGCCTGGAGCCCCACACCCTCCACTGCTCCCTCCTGCACAATCTAGCGAGCGGAGGCGCCCCCCATGTGCCAGGCTGTGCTGGGCGGCAGCAGCTGGGCACACACCGTCTCGCTGCGGGCGGTGCCCTTCTCCCTCGTACCCCTCTGGTGAAGCCCTCACCAGCTTCGAGGCTCAGCCGGGCTGCACTCCCGGTTTAGGACCATCTACGCTAACTGGCATCAGTCGGTTACGTGGCTCCCCCGGAGCAGGAGCCCTGGGAGGGGAGGGCTCGGGGCAGACCCCCTCGAGCGCCCAGCCCAGCCCGAGGGAGGCTCCCAGGAGCTACCTGCTCAAGTTTACTGGGCTGCTAGGTTCAAACCAAGGGCATCCTAGTCTCATTTTTCTAATCAGCAACACGATTTGATGGTCTACAAATAAAATTTTGAGTGGTACAAGTAACCCAACGAATTAAAATTCAGAGACTGATTACCACGGACTAGGATGATAATAAAGAAAAACATTTGGCCCTAAACCGTCGAGATTGTAAACAGAAACCACCCGACAGCACTGGGCAGTGCCGAACAGAGACCGTCATGAGAGACTCGGGATGCCGTGATGCTCGGGGTTACACAAGAGGGCAGCAGCATTTCAAAAAACCGAGCTCTGACCCGACGCCCAGTCTGCCAGGCAGTGGCAGGCACAGGGCGTCTCCAAGGTCAGGCTGCCGACACTGGCTCCTGAGAATTCCAGAGAATGCTATCCCCGCGGAGAGCTCCAGAGAAGCAGCCTTGGCCAGGACGGGCTCACATGGGTGCCTCAAGGGGAGTCGAGCAGACAAAGAACCGAGGGTGCGACAAGCGAGCCGATGGAGAGGTCTCTGCTCTTCCTGCGGATACCTGACGATGTCACATTTCCACTGCTCCCCTTCAGGACAGAAGCTGCTCACGCCCTCCCGATACAGGAGGGCCCTCTGCTCTGTCAGCGCCCACACCACGCTGTTTCGGGCTGTGATCTGGGACAGTGGGTATGGACAGTCGACCTTCACGGCTCTGGCACAGGGGCGATCCACACTGAGACCTGCCAGGGAGACAGACAGGAAGCCCCCCAACACACAATCAGGATTTCATACCTCATTTGTATTCTGTCGCCTGCTTCTTTTCCTTTTTTCGGTATTTTGCCTGCTCTTTTGTAATAAGTACTTTGTCTTTCTAAGGGTCAGTCAACAAAAAATGGTGAAATTGTGCTTAAGTATGGCGTCTATCTGAAGTGTTTGCAGATGCGCTTTGAAAACTGAAGCGGGGGCGGGGGGGGGGGGGGCGCCTGGGTGGCTCAGTCGGTTGAGCGTCTGACTTCGGCTCAGGTTATGATCTCACAGTCCATGGGTTACAGCCCCGAGTCAGGCTCTGTGCTGACAGCTTAGAGCCTGGAGCCTGTTTCTTCAGATTCTGTGTCTCCCTCTCTCTCTGCCCCTCCCCTGTTCATGCTCTGGCGCTCTCTCTATCAAAAATAAATAAACATTAAAAAAAAAAAAAGAAAACTGAAGGAGTAACAGCTCGGAATCCTGGCGTCCCAAAGTATCTTACGAAGTCTGGAAAGAACAAGACGGCCCAGAGCAGGAGAGCGGCCAGAGGCTGAGCCAGGAGGCCCGGGCCCGGAGCAGCACCGCTCCCGAGGCCCGCCCATGCTTTGCGGCCATGCCCCTCAGAGCATCTGGGTGAGCGAGCTGCTGTGGCAGCCGCTGGCGACGGCGGGGGTCCGAGGCCTCCGCCCCTCCTCTGACCCTCCGCGGAGCAGCTCTGACAAGGCAGCGGCCCTCTCCCTGCTCTCACCTAGTTGGCGGGAGTGGGGGTGGGGGGACCCTAGATGGAAGGCAAGGCCACAGCAGGGCCAGAGCTCAGGGTCCCTGACTCCCCGGCCGGGGCTCTTGCCCCCACCTCCTTGTAGCCTGTCTCACGAGCCTGGAGCCTGCCCTCAGGAGCTGGCAGAGCAGCTGGTAACTAAAAGCCCATCCTCCGTGGCGTCGGCCTGCGATGAGTTCTCGCTGCTTGAGGGTGCGCCCCGCCTAATCGCAGAAGCACCCCGTGTGCCATGTCCCTGGCGGCACGTCTCGTCCTTGACCAGGAGAGTCACCTGCGGGTCTTCCTACACCACAGATACCCAGGCCAGCCGCAGGGACTAACGCGGTAGGTCTGGTCCACCACTCCCCAACCCCAGGCCACAAGCACTCTGTTCCCCACCAGGAACGAAACTCAAATGCCCTTGGAAACTGGATACGCCTTTGCCTTTCCAGAGCTCTCTGCATTTGAAGGGAGACACAGGAACTGGGATGGAGAGACCGGGACTGGCAGGTGGCCCAGAAGCTGGCCAGGCTGACCACCAGGGCTCAGGCAGCAGCTTCTCGGGGATGCTGGCCCTCCCACATGCGACAGAGAGCCACAGGTGCAAAGGCTTTCAATCTCAGAGAGTCATCCCTGGCTGACGGCTCACAGCACATTAAAACATTCTCTCCAAATCAGCAATATTAAATGGTCAGAAGACCGATCTTTACGTAAATCCACTATGGCCTCCTGACGACCAAAAAAGAGCTCCGTGCCCCATATCCTTTGCAGATGCCGGCAAATCACACTGCCTTTGGAAACTCACAGACCGTTTTGCTGACATGACACCAACACTCACTCTTGTTACACTTGGTGTTTAATAAGCAAGTCTCCCTGTGTCTCCTGCAGCAGCTCAAGGTTCCCGCAGGGCAGTTTATTAGGACGAAGTTGAACTGCTACTTTGATCAAATTCTCTCTCAGTGTTTCTTGCAGACCCACATGTGAACAAGTATACAGAAGCAGGCCTTGACCTGGCTGAAAAAAATCCAGCCATAACCTAAAGGAAAAAATGACTGTAATGTCATTTTCCTTCCCGCTAAGATTCGATATTGTAGCACGTGTGACAGGCAATGCTTGGCCAGAGGAGAAAAATCTGTTTCTGTATCTCACTAATTAATTCTATTAATCTTTGCCTTAAATTTGTCCTGGGCTGAATGTGAGTCAATAGCGGGAAATTGCTAATTTATTCCAATGGCAAATACTGTCTTTCCACAAATGCTTTAATTTACATTGATTTTTAGCTCCTTAGTCATTGCGACTGTTCTAAGCATGTCCCTAACAAAGTGAAGGATGGCAGGAAGCAATTACCCCCAAACCGCCGGGTGCTGGAGCACAGCCTCCAGTTACCTGTCTGCAGGTATAGGTCTCCATTCGTCCTGATGATCCAGGCCGTGTCATCGCTCAGGGCCACAAAAACCGCCTGGGGCAGCGCTTCGTACCAGTGCCGCTTTCCCTTGATGGTCACTTTTCCACAAGCAAAAGCTCGGTTAGATTTCTGTTCAATCTTCCAGAGGAGGGCGCCTGCGGAAATACAAATGCTATTCACTATCCAGTAAATGTTGTGACTCACACAAAAAACTTCACTCTGGTTGTGTCGGGGGAGAGATTTCTAAAACCGCTCTCTCCCTTCTGCTTCTACCCCAACTGGGGAAAGGGCCCGCAGCGCCAAGGATGAGCCTTTGGCCACCGCCCACCAGCCATGTGGCTTCGGGCATCGAGTCGCCTGGCGTCCCCGTGCCTCATTTTCTCATCCATTCCTTACGGGGCTGCTAGGGAGACTGGAGGTGAGAACATATCGACGACAGGCAGAGCTGGGCAGTGGTAGTGCTGACGCGGTTACCTTAGGAGGCACAACTGGTGCCCCACCAGAGGTTGAAAAGTCCCACAGGGACACAAAGGAGGCATTTCTGGATCAGCTAAGGGGATAAGATGCACGGAAAAGAAGCACTTGAGCTGGGCTATCCTTTTTCACTCAGAAAGGGATTCTGAGACACAGAGGTGAAGAAGGCCCTTGGGTGGCTTAGTTGGTTCAATGTCCGACTTCGGCTCAGGTCGTGATCTTGTGGTTCATGGGTTGGAGTCCCTCATTGGGATCTCTGCTGTCAGTGCAGAGCCTGCTTGAGATCCTCTGTCCCTCTCTCTCTCTCTCTCTCTCTCTCTCTCTCTCTCTCACACACACACACACACACACTGGAATATTATTTGCCAATCAAAAAGAAAGAAATCTTGCCATTTGTGACAATGTGGATGGAGCTAGAATGTATTTGCTAAGCAAAATCAGTCAGAGAAAGACAAATGTATATGATTTCACGCATATATGAAACTCAAGAAACAAAACAGATGGACATAGGGGAAGGGAAGGAAAAATAAGATAAAAACAGAGAGGGAGACAGACAGTAAGAGACTCAACTACAGAGAACAAACTGAGGGTGGGGGATGGGCATTAAGGAGGACACTTGTAGGGATGAGCACTGGGTGTTACATGTAAGTGATGAATCATTCAAGTTTATTCCTGAAATACAATTGAAAGAAAAGAAAGAGAAAAGAAAAGACATGAAGAAGGGGAGGGAAGGAGGCAGGTGTTCTATGTGGACGGAGGGTGTAGCACAGGCCAGGCAGCCACGTGTAAGAAACCACCAGGGAATCAGCAGAGCACAGCCAGGCCAGACCAGAGGGTCTGACAGTAGGAGTTGAGGTAAGAGCAGAAAAGCAGGACAGACGGCCGAGCCCGGAGCACACCCTGGACGCCACGGGGCTCGGTGCCCCCTGAAGGCTGCAGGGCCCCTCAGCTCAGACACTGAGCTGGTGGAGACAGAACTCTCCCTAGGTCAACGAGGGCCTGAATGTTTTGGAGACACAAAGTAGTCAACAGAATCAGGACAGGACCAAAGCTTTTAGATGGCTGGGTAGATGAACCCAGAAGTGAATGACAGAGAAAGAATGAAAACGCACAGTTATATAAGGCCCGCTAACAAAATACATTATGTCTCAGCCACTAAGGAAAAATAATTTTCAAATAAGCAAAGAGCTAAAACAAAGCAACCTTGAACAAACTAGTATTTTAAACAGTGACCTGGAAAGGGTCAAAGGAAACCCAGCTGAAAGCACACTGAAGTTACAGAGGAGGAGTCAAAGGCCACAGAGTACGTTTTGTCTGATTTCTATTCTACTGTCTGACTTCTCCTTCTCCTCCTCCTCCTCCTTTTTTTGTTTTAAATAGGCTTCATGCCCAGTGCAGCGCTCAATGTGGGGCTCCAACTCACAGCCCTGAGATCAAGACCTGAGCTGACAGGTCATTATCTCATGGTTCGTGGGTTCAGGCCCTGCTTCGGGCTCTGTGCTGACAATGCAGAGCCTGCTTGGGATTCTCCCTCTCTCTGCCTCTCCCCCGCTCATGAACACTCTCTCTCAAAATAAACAAACATAAAAAAAAAAAAAGACCTGAACTGAAATCAAGGGTCAGACACTTAACAGACTGAGCCACCCAGGCGTCCCTCCAATGTCTGACTTCTATTCCAATGTCTCAACAATAAGTTCGTTACTATGAGACAAATGCATAGAAATACTTCTATTCTTCTATTCTACCTACCTACCCCCTAATAGGTGAAGTGGCCAACATTATGACAAAACAGATGAGCCAATGATTCTAGACAGGTAGGGGAAGTACAGGCTGAAAGTCTGGTCAAACCTCATTCAGGAAATGTCTGCTATGGTTCACTAAAAATGGTTAGCCTAAGTACGGCTTGTGAGAATGAACACATTTTTCTTCTACACTCAGGGAGTAGATTATTTGGCTAAAGCATACACATCGCTCATTAAAAAATAATTTCTAGGAAGGAAACCAAATGATCTGAACATATCCAACACATCCACAGGCCCACCTTCATTAGTTCAGTTGCGTTAAAGCAACAATAGGAAACAAACACATTTTATTTTTCAATCAGCCCGAAGGCTTTCATTTTTGAAACAGATTTTCTTTTTATAAGAGGTATGTTAATCTCTCAAAAATACCCCCCAAATTCAAGCTACTTGTATAGCTTATAAAAACAATTTCATGTGTCACCATTGCAATTAATAAACAAAACAAAAATTCAAACTAGACATCCATTTACTCTATTTGTTAACTGATGTCAAATGGAGTGACCCCTGTTCTGTGGGAGAAAACCCCCCAAACCTGCAGGAACGGGAGGAACGGGAGGAACGGGACGGTCTGCCGAAGGGATGGGGCCACTGCAGGGCCCACTGTGTGTGAGGCAGGCTGCAGGGGTGCCAGCAGGGAGCCGGGGAGGCCGACCTGAGGGTGAGACTGCCACCTGCTGGACGGCGTCTTCGAACTTCTGCCAGCGTAGCCCGGCGCCCGGCAGCGCGCTGCAGAACAGGCCGCCTTTGTAGTCCAGGCACCAGATGTACTTCTCGGAGACCGCCAGGCTGAGTATGCCGTAGCCGGGGCCAGAGTACCCCATCCAGCTCTCTGCAAACTGACAAGGACAGAGCCTGGTGAGTTCTGTGGCAGAGGACAGAGCTGTGCTGTCATGCTTTCATCAGCAGGCCAAACATGCAGGGCGTCCAGCTCGCAGAGCCGAGGAGCTCTGAGAAGACAGGTAGGGACCCGCTGTCTTTGGGCTGTGCTCGAAGAGAAGCAAGCGCTCTGAAATGGGAGTTGCCGTCCCCTACTGGGACCCCACAGCATCCCGGGCTAACACCGTGTCATCCGAGAACACCTTCCTAATGCGGTGCTTTGTGCACAGGCATACCGTGCTTTATACAACGTGCGTGCAAATTGCTATTTCGCGCCTTCGATCCTTGCAGATATGCTACCTAGTGTTTTAAATACGGTCCCCATCACTGGACATGGGGCACACCGTGTGGCTGATGGAAATCTGGCCAAGATGCTCAGCCTGGCAGAATTTTGTAGACCAATAGTTTGGCTGCTTGGATTCTTTTTAAAAATCAAAGCTAAATGAAGTCGTTGTAATTTGACAGTTTTCTGAAACTGCAGAAGAAATCAATGTACCTGCACAATCACTTGAATATGCAAGTCAACTGCTTCACAGAGAATGGCGCCCGACCCTTGCCAATCTGGCCCTGCGCCCTGTGACAAGTCTTTCTCAACCTCCTCCCCAACGTGCCACAAAATTTCTGGGCTTTTCCAGCTACTGGGATGGGGGGAAGACTGTCAGCAGGTGGGGGAGAAGTCTTCCGAGTGCCAGGTTCCCGATCACCCAGGGGAGGGCTTTTCTAGAGTTCTGGCCTAGAATCCCAACAGCCTGCCCTCCCAGGACGTCGTCTGCCTGGCTGGCGCCTCACAGCTTCCCAGAGCCCCGCCCTGTGCTCTCCTCCATCGGCCCAGAGTCTTGCTCAGCTGAGACGATCGGCATGTATGTCTGCCTCCTCAAGACTCTGAGATCCCAACTGGCCGTCCACGTGCTGCGGCGCCTGTAGCCGAGGGCTCTCAAGAGGGGGTGGGTGCAGGCGGGACCGAGGGGAAGGTCTAACCTTTCGGCATTGGTCTCAAAGCAAGCAAGCGGGACATTTCATTCTGAAGGTGGGACGGCACAGAGGCTGGGAGACGGTCCCGGGGCCAGCCCTGCGCTCCACTTGCTATGGGACCTGTGCAAGCCGTTTAACCGAGTTGCGGTTCCCTCCACTGTAAAACGGGGACCATGGCAGCGCCAACTTCACAGCTTGTTTTGTTTTGAGAGTAAATGAGGTGGACTCATAAAGTGCTTAACGGTGCCCAGCAGGCGGCGAGAGCTGCCCAAACGATACACATAGCGGCATCGAGGGAATCCAGTGGTACATCTGGGGAAAGCACACCTAAGTTCACACTCATAATCTGTGCCTCACAACTACTCAGCAGGAAAAGTCACAATACGTGGTTAGTTTTGAAACCAAATACATTGAATAGGAATCATCTGCTAAGAAAAGCAAGCACTTTAAAGAAATCTCCTTATGTAGGATGACCGAGAGTCCCCCTCCTTAACCGCGTGCATTGTCGGGTGGACCCACAGGAAACTGGCCACCACAAACCCACATACCTGATCTGACTTTAGCAGCCCGGTGTCTTCTGTGCCGGGCTGGCTCAGGTCCTGCAGGGAGCGACTACCCCCGAGCTCAGTCACGCTCGTCTCCGAAGAAGATGAAGGCAACCCTTGGGCATAGATGTCCTCCTCGTCGCTGGACGTTAACACCTGGTCCCGGGAAGGCTGCTCCACCCACGGCTCACGGGTGCGAGTCGCCAAGGCAGAGACCGGGGGAGTCCGCCGTCCTCCCGCACTCCCCAGGTCACGTTCCGAGGCCGCCATTTCCTTTAGGCCTGTGTCACTGTCAGTGACAGCGTGCCAGGGAGATGAGCCGAGGTGGCCGGGGGCCTCCACGTGCGTTAGGAAGCCCTGCCCCTTGCCGGGCCCCTCGGCACTGCCTTCGCCAACTCTGGTCCCCGGCAGCCGCTGCTCCGCCTGGGGGGCCCAGCTGAGGCTTGAAGGCACCGGGGGTGAGTCTAGGAAGGGGGCTTCAGAAAAAGTGCTTTGGGGGTCATCGGGCTCCATGTCCCCTGCTTCCCGGGCCTGTTCTCGCCAGGGTGACTGTCTGCTATTCAGTCCCTCGTCTGCGGGGCAAGGCTCCTCTCTGAGGTCGGTAACATCACTGCCTTCCACAGCCTCTCTCAGCTCCAAGAGTGAAGTCCACACTCCCCTGTGTGGCTCCGTCTCGCCTGCATGGTTCCATCGTGGGCTTTCAGGTCTACTGTCACGCCCTTCATTCAGTATGTCAGGGGCAGGCTCAGGCACCTCCAGGACACTGAACGCTTCGGGGTCATTATTCTCCTGCAGGACACCATTCACCTCTCCGCTGAGGTTACTCTCCCGGTCGGGAGACTCTGTGCTCGAGCGATCCACGATGCTGCCCAAACTTGAGGTCATGGACAGCAGGTCTGTGCTCAAGGACTGGGGACTGTCACCCGGAAACTCACAGCAGGGAGTTGACTCAAGGGAACTGTGGCAGGCACTCCGGCTTCCACCTTCTAATTTAAAATAAGAACGTTTAAGATGACAGATGACTCTGCATAAACGGTAAGAGACTAAAAAACAAAATTTTGGCTCAAGAAGAAATGCATCTTAAACGACGGATACCTAAGTGAAGTATGAATTATCCTAACGCAGAGCTGTTTTAAAGGGACGCAACTGTCAGACAGGCTGATGGGCTCTGAGGCCTCGCTTAAGAAATGTTAAGGGGAAAAAACAAAGGAACAGATGGACTGCAGATCAACTGTTTAAAATGATTAAAACACTCAGCAGTCCGATACCTGTCCTTCGATACTGCAGTATCTGTAGGCCTAACAGGAACCAAGGAGCACAGAGTTAAACGAGTTCTCTGTTAGATCGCACGTCTGTAACACAGCCAACCCCAAATGCAGTGATCCCTCTGCCTCCATGACTTTCCTTCCACCCGGGTTCACAGACTCTGGTCTAACACATGGTATATGTAGATAGATCCAAATTTTTACCTGAATATTGAGAAGTGGAACCCCAGGGCCAGCAAGCCGGGTGTAAGTACGCAGGTGCACGTTACAGGATTTAAACCTCGCGGAAGCGCTTTAGTGTGCGTGGCGCTCTTTTGCAACTTATGAAATACTTCACGGCAAAGCCCCTCCACAGAGGGGGACACGTGATGGCCGCAGACCCTCCCTGCCTCCCCTCACCCGAGTGGGCAGGCGCTCGCTCCGTGAGGGCAGCACCCCCTACGTGAGCAGGAGTCAGTGCGTGCGGTGCCACAGGCCGTACCTGACTTCTTCTTCCTCTTCTTTCTCACTTTCAGCGGCTTCACCACGAGCTCCTGCTCAAACTCTTCTGAGCTGATCACGCTGAATCTCTGTGAGGCGGGCTGGCCACCCCTCCCCGGCTCTGGCGCCGCCTGGAGCCCGGAGCCACTGTCGGTGGAGTTGAGAGAACTGCTCCTGCTCCGTGGCTCGCTGGCCACGGAGCTGGCCACGGAAGAGCCCCTGAGCCTCGTCTCAGAAACCGTGGCCACCGACGGCTTCTCCGCGCGCTGCCCGGACACCTGCTCTGCGCACCCGGACGTCTCCAGGCTGTCTCGCGCTGGGAAAGGAGGGGTGGGTTTTACTACTGGTTACAAGAAAGTCGACGTGCTCTCATTCAGGTCTGCTAACCCTGCTGAACACCAGCCTGCCGAAGTCAGAGAAACTAACGAAACTAAAAGAATCGCACAGAAGATTCCAACAAACGGTTCTGGGCTCCAGGAAGCGCACGTACCCAAATCAGGAAAAGGATTCCCCACAGCTGCCTTTTGTAAATAACTCAAGAGTCCGGGAACGCCACTAAGTATACAGCATTTCTCACATCAACTCACAAAGAATTTATAAAGAAGAGAAATGGGCTTAGTGATATCCCATACTTAGACCACGCCCTAATATACTACTCCTCCAGAGGCACTTGAAAAACACACGTGTACCTCTAATCCTATTTCTTAACCAACTGAGCCACCCAGGTGCCCTCCTCTAATCCTATTTCTTGAAATTCAAGGAGTGAAGGTGATTTCCTGCTAGCACCAAGTCAGGATGGAGAAGTATGTTAACAAGGCAGCGTCCAGAGCAAGCAGAGAGCAGCATCCTTCTCAACACGACACCAGAGTCACTGTGGCCAGAAGGGTTCCAGCCACACGACTAGGGACCACTTTACCCGTTCAGCCACCTGTTTGTGACCGAGTACGCACGATGTGCCCGATGCCGTCCTGGGGCCATCGGCCAGACAGATGGGAATCCCCGTCCTCTTGTGAGGGTCGTCGGGGGCAGACTGTCGGCTGTGGCGTGCACACTGGGGGCTGACAGGGAGGGTTCTGCTCTGCGTGAAGCCCGGGCAGGGAAGCGACTTGTCAAAGAGCACGCAGGTTGATGGCAGGTGTGGGTCCAGAGCTCCCCTGTCAATACAGCGGCCACTGCCACATGCAGCTATTTCCCGTCAAAGCCAAATAAAATTTGAAGTTCTGTGGCACTCACGTGTGGGCAGCGGCCACCCACCGGTCAGCGCAGATACAGACCATGTTCATGGCTGTGAGAGAGTCCTGCCGGAAGGCAGTGGTCTAGAGCTTACTTGTCCCCAGGGGCCACGCTGCCCCTGACGACACTGACGACGCCAGCTCAGAAACTCAAAAGTCAGAACTTACGCTCTTTCCGCGACTAGAATTTGGAGTATTTATGCCGACTCACCCTCTGACTTAAGAGGTAATTCACTTGCCGCCCCAGCCCCACCCGGCCATCTCTTAAGAGATGGTTAATTTGGGGCCAAGACAGCCCTTATGACACTCATCTTTTCGAGAGGTAAAGATGTGGCTAATGAGACACCGTTTGGTACAATTTCCTACTCGCTACAGTTTGTACTCTAAACATTACGAAAAGAGATGAGGCTGGAGTAAGGCTTCAGGCAGGCCTGCCAGCATGGGGTCCAGTGGCCTGCCCCCCGGGGCTCCTCTTCCCCCCACTTGCTCCGCTCTGGAAGGCCTGGGGTTTGCGACCCGCCCACCCGCTTCGGTCCAGGACCTCCACTCCCTCGCTTGCAGGGACTCAGATGCGAGCTCATGCTGGCGAGAGAAGTAACAGCAAAGATGCCCCTGAGGCCAGGACACCGCAAGGCCGTGGCTACAGCAAAGGGGCCCCATTTCTGACCAGCGTGGCAAGGCAGGAGGAAGAGGAGAAATGCTGGCAGAAGCAGAAATCAGAAGACATGCTGATTGGCTTGGGGCTTGTCACTTACCCCCCTAGTCCTTGGTTTTCTAATCTGTGAAATGGGGACACCACGAATTAACAAATACTCAGGGTCTTCTTTCTACGTGCCATGTGCTGTGTAGGCCCCCAAAGCGGACTCACAAGATCCTTGCAACCAAAAAGTTTACTATTTTGTGGGGTAAGGTACACAGTAAGTGAACGGCTCCATGGTCAGAAGGGCAGGAGGGAGCTCCCTGGGCACTCAAGTGAAGACAGGGCTGACTTAACTGAAGCACTCGGGGAAAGTTTCAAAAATGCAGGAATCCCTGACCCGGGTCTTCAATAAGGAGTGGGGAGAGTGCAGGGAGCACCATCCTGCCAGAAGCGGGCCACGTCCTAGAGCACCACACACCTAGCGTTCGGGCCTGCTAAGTGCCCGGGTGAGTGGGAGAGGGCAAGTGCTTGGAGAGGGCTGGCAGCTGGAGGACGGGGTGCCCTGCAGGCCACCTCATCAACGGTGGCCACAGGAGTGCGGTGAGCAAGGAGGGGATGAGGCCGCTCCAACCCCGGGGAGGAAGGGGGCCTGGCTGCGGAGGGGGAGCTGCATCTTCCTAAGTCCCAGTCTCCTCGTCTATGAAACCAGTACCTTCCATTTAAGGTTGTTCTCAGGACCTTATAAGGCCAGGAATGCCGTGTGCTTAGCGGTCTCTGGAACACAGGGAGAACAAGGCGAGTGACAGAGACAGGACAAGGACAGGGAGGAGAGTGGAGTGGAGGGACTGGGGGGTGGGGCCCACACCACTGTCGTCACCGTCAGGAACAAGCTTGCTGATGAGCCCCAAACCACCGAAGTGTGCGTGAGAACGTGTGTGACAATTCACTCGTTAGAACCTGGGCTTGTATGAATACAGAAAAAGGTCAAAAGCAGAGAGAATAATCAATGCGATAAGAAGAACCGTGTTAAGGGCAAAGGATATGTCCCAGATAGCAGATTTAAATGTTCTAAAATCTTGGCAAATCTCTATCTTCTGAAGTACTAATCCCACACGCCATCCAAACACCAGAGAGCAGTCATGTGGGTGCTGTGCTCTCCCTCCTCGCCCAACCTCCCACCCTCCAGACCCACGGAGCCACTCTACCAAACGGGAGGCTGTGTGACAGGAGCCTTGAAATAGGTAAGCTTCAAGAAAAGTCTCGTAAACCGTATTTTAAGAAGCACAGGAAACCCTCCAAATACCTGTTTAGAAAAAGCGAAGTGATGGGAGGGTTTGTAAATTGTAAACTACAATTACGTACACACAGTACATTTTATGACAAATACAAACCTATTGATGCCAGTCCTTCAGGTCTGCTTGAAATTCTTATAATGTTCCTATCTCCCTTTAAGAAAAATATTTCATTTTCTGTGCAGGAAACAGATACGATATCACCAGATCCTTCCAAACCAGCAATTGTAGCCTGTCCAAAAAAGGAAAGAAAAGAAAAGAAAAGAAAATCACACAACCAGGCAACAGTAATAGCTGAAAACACACAAACATGTGCAGGAGTCCTACAAAGTCAAATGACAACTGTGCTTTGTTATGGCCACTTTCTGAAACTTCTGAAGAGTAATTCGAAGCAGGGGCCCCTGGCTGGCTCTGTCAGGGGAGCTCAGGACTCTGGGTCTCAGGGTGGTAAGTTCAAACCCCACGTTGGGTGTAGAGATTAAATTAAAAAAGAGTAATTCAGGGGCGCCTGGGTGGCTCAGTCGGTTAAGCGTCCGACTTCAGCTCAGGTCACGATCTCACGGTCCGTGGGTTCGAGACCCGCGTCGGGCTCTGGGCTGATGGCTCAGAGCCTGGAGCGTGCTTCTGATTCTGTGTCTCCCTCTCTCTCTGCCCCTCCCCTGTTCATGCTCTGTCTCTCTCTGTCTCAAAAATAAATAAACGTTAAAAAAAATTAAAAAAAAAAAAAAAAGAGTAATTCAGAGCCAAAGTAGGTAATATCTGACAGGTACGTGATAGTCACCTTGCCGGTAAACTCACGAGACCGAGCGGGTTGTCTGCCTCTCCTCTCAGCCACTTGGAACCGCGTCCCACCTGCGCCCGACCCCCTTGGACGTGGAGCTCAGCCTCCTTGGCTGGACCTGCCTGTCAGCCTCCCACAACTGCCCTGGGCTGTGGTACAGGTGCCCCGAGTGGAACGGGCCAGTCCAAACCCCAGCCTTGTTCCTCCATGACGCCATGGCCTCTGCTCAGACTCCTTTCCTGACTCTTGTTCCCTGGGAGAGTTCCAACTCGATTCAGACACCGCCTCCTTGGGTAACGGACCCCGGCGAGCTCAGCCTCAGTGGCCCTGCCCTGCCCAGGACTCATCACAGCTCACAGCACTCTGGACAAATGTCCACGGGCATGTCGCTCCTGGGCTGCAGTGATGAGCTGCCTGGGCTAGGCCCCTACTGTGTGTGCTCCTGTGGGAGAGACTCGTGTGCACTGCACTTCACAGCTCTGGATGAACGGGGGCGGGGAGAGGCCCTGATGCCACCTGGGATGTCCAGAGCCTGCAACAAGTTTTAAAAATTCTCTTTTCAGCCAACAATACAAACAAGAGGCCATTCAGTGTAGAGAGAAAAGTGTCTAAATTCTTTGTTAATTTTTAATAACCCTGAGGAATAGCTAAAAACGTGCCCTTAGTTTGAAAGACTCTGATGGCAGCCATAACGCACACACGGACAGACCCTTTGTCTCCGTTTCTCTACGTCTAAAATGAAGTTAATTGCACCTGTTGGAAAAAGCACTGGGGGTGAGGGCTCAGAAGAAAGAACTGATGTGTAATCACCAAACGTTTTGACCCCACTAACTACCAAGTGTGTATCAAGTTCCTAGAGTACCCAGAGAAAAAAGAAAACTGAAGTTGTCTGTACGTGAAGAATACAAAAATGCCTTTCAAAGTGCTCCTTAGGAAGAGAAACCAGCTCAGGGCAAAAAGGCAGCTTGGTGGCCCCAACCCAACTAACTCTGCCCTCAAGTTCCAGGTGAGGAAGTTCCAGGTAGGGCAGACGAGACTCCTGCTTAGAGGCAGAAGAGCTAGAAGGTTCTACCAAAACCAAACATTTCTTCAAATCTACAAAATAATCAGACCATCACTTGATTTCCTTAACTGGCTCAATGGAAAAAAGTAAAGCATTAGGATCAATATTGTTCCTTCTATCATCCTGAGAGACAGTCTGTGGATGAACATCCTACAGACACCAAAGCTGTGGTGCGATCACGTCACTCACCTGGTTGACAGTGTCTAGAAGATAAATGCTATATTCATTCCAACTCAACACCCAGCCTTCTTGGAAGAAACATGAAACGAGCCCCAGGTGCTTCTCAGGTAAGCTGCAACTTCCCCTGTTGGAGGATTCCAGACGCGGGTACAGTTCGAAAGGCTTGACTCCTCCGGCAAAGACATCTTTTAAGATAAACGTGGCTTGAACAGTCCCATGGATGTCCGCCTTCCAGAGCCGGAGCCCAGGCCGTGACGCATACAAAGTCAGATCACTTTGCTTACAGAGCCCTGGTATAAAACAAGCTCCAAATTTCCCAGTGCTGATATTACAAGAAAAAAAAAAAAAAAAAAACAGAAAAAAACCAAATATGAACTGATTTAAAGCCATGGTTGTCAACCCTTGATATCAACTGTAATAAGAATTTTTTGGCTAAGCCCAAACAAGATTAATGTCTTTTCAGAACCTCTTCTGTGTTTTTTTGTTGTTGTTGTTGTTTTTGTTTTGTTGTTGTTAATGGAACCATACTGTCATCTCTGCCCACAGAGGACAAGGTCTCTGTATCATACTTCCTGCAACCCCCTCAGAACTGTGTACCCAGTACTGTTAAGCCAGTATCCCGATTCATGGCGACTATTATGGTGCCAGGCCCCAGGCTCTGTCTCCACCCTCTGGCTCAATCCTCACCACGGCCCCGTGTGGCGAACAGTACAGCTCCTGTGTCCGAGAAAAGGAAACTGAAGCAGATGCGGACAAATCCAGGTCTGACTATCCTCCCCCTGTTCGGAAAGTCTGTTCCTTTTAACGTCTGATCGCTGTACTCACTCCCACATCCCAGTGAATGAGCATCACGCCTACAACTGAGTCTAAACCCATCATAGGAACCTGCTTCTCTTCCGGTCCCCAGGCGTGGTATTTTTTCTCTATTTTTAAAATTATGGGGGCACCTGGGTGGCTCAGTTGGTGAAGCATCCAACTTTGGCTCAGGTCATGATCTCACAGCTCGTGGGTTCGAGCCCACATCAGGCCCTGTGCTGACAGCCCAGAGCCTGGAGCCTGTTTTGGATCCTGTGTCTCCTTCTCCCCCTGCCCCTTCCCCACTCATGCTCTGTCTCTGTCTCTCTCTCAAAAATAAATAAACATTAACAAATTTTTTTTAATTATGAAATACCTAACACAAAAGAATGTATGCTTTATATATGTTTTATTGTATATACCATATATATAAATTATATATATATACTATATTACATATATGTATTTATAGGTACATAAAAGTTATGAAATCTAATAAATGAAGTGCACACCTGGGAATTTATCCCTCAACTTCAGAAATAAATCATCAGCGACACTGTTGATGTTCTCTCATGTTCCTAAAAAAGTTCCTGCCCCTCTGTTCCCCAGGTATGACCACTAGACTGAATTTTGTGTTTATTATTCCCTTTTACTGACAGTTTAACCACATACCTATGTATTCCTAAACACTATGAAATTTACAATTTCATTTGTATAAAAAAAGTATGATGCCATTTGTATACTTTTGCAACTTGCTTTTTTTTAAGTTTATTTATTTATTTTGAAACAGAGAGAGAGGGCACACATGAGTAGAAGAGGGGCAGAGAGAAGGAGAGAGACAATCCCAAGCTGGTTCTGTGCTGTCAGCACAGAGCCCCATGTGGGGCTCAATCACACAACCTGGGATCATGATCTGAGCCGAAATCACGAGGTGGATGCTCAACCGACTGAGCCACCAGGAGCCCCTTAACATTATATTTTTAAGGTTTATCTTTACTGATAAAAAAGCTACACCTCATTCATTCTGACTGCTACACAGTAGTCCGCAAGTTATTTATTCACTTTCTTGCTGATGAGCATTTGCATTATTTCTACATTTTTATTTTAAACAGTAGTGCCCTGAGCATTTTCGCACAGACCTCCTAGTGCACAGGTATAAGAGTCTGTCAAGGACCTTTCAGAGATGGAACCACTGCTCTGTTGGGTAACTGCTGGGTTTCTGGATAAGAACAAATTCAGGTTTGGAAGACAATTTCAAACTTTTTTCAACGTGATTATACCAACCTATGTTTCCACCAGTAATCCTGAAGTTCTTTTTTTTTTTTTTTTAAAGATCCTATTTTTTAAGTAATCTCTATACTGAACGTGGGGCTCAAACTCACAACCCTGGGATCAAGAGTTATACGCTTCCCTAACTGGGCCACCCAGGCACCCCTCTGAGTTCTCACTGTCCCTCGACTTTGCCTGATCTCAGGCTCCTGCCAGACCTGAAAGTTTAAGAGTTTCAGTCCAGGGGCACTGCGTGGCTCAGTCAGTTGAGCGTCCAACTCCTGATTTTGGCTCAGGTCATGATCCCAGGGTTGTGAGGTTGAGCTCTGTGTCAGGCTCTGTGCTGACCATGGAGTGTGCTTGGGATTCTGTCTCCCTCCCTCTGCCCCTCTCCCCCACTTATTCTCTCTCTCTCTCTCTCTCTAAAAGAAATAACAAATTAAAAAAAAAGTTTCAGGGGCGCCTGGGTGGCTCAGTCAGTTAAGCGTCCAACTTTGGCTCAGGTCATGATCTGACAACTTGTGGGTTCGAGCCCCGCGTCAGGCTCTGTGCTGACAGCTCAGAGCCTGGTGCCTGCTTCGGATTCTGTGTCCCCCTCTCTCTGCTCTTCCTCCACCTGTGTGCTCATGCGCTCTTTCTCTGAAAAATGAATAACCATTACAAAGAAAAAAAAAGTTTCAGTCCAGCCCTGAGTCCTGCTGATCCTCTCTCCAAAACGCTTCTAATTTTTTTTTTTTTTTTAACATTTATTTATTTTGAGAGAGAGAGGGCGTGCACATACAGGAGGGAGAGAGAATCCTAAGCAGGCTCTGTGCTGTCAGCAAGGAGCCTGACCCGGGGCTCAAACTCATAAACCGTGAGACCATGACCTGAGCCGAAAGAAATCAAGAGTTGGATGTTTAACCTACTAAGCCACCCAGGTGCCCTTGTATGTCTCTGATTTTCAACAGTAGAAAGAGCACTGGCTCTAGGTTGACAGCTGGGCTCAATTTCTAGCCCTGACATAGAATTGCCATGTGGTTGCAACCTTCCTGGCTCTCAGTTTCCTAATCTGTAAACCAGGGGTCATTCCCCCCATCTCAAAGGTTAAGTGAGGATTAAGTGACACAATCTCTGAAGGCACAAAAGCACTGCTGGTGACACTATGTCTCACAAATGCTCACCAGCCACCCACAGGGCTACAGGGACCCACAGCCGGGAGCTACCTGTGGGTCCATCCATGTCCCCACTACGTGCTCCCTACCTATGTGCTCCCTACGCTCTCCTCACCCTCCCTGCACACAGCAGAGCCCTGTAGGGTGCCACCGTGTGGCCCTCCTAAGGGGCTGTCCCCAGAGCGCATCCCACACAGCCACACAGATAAACTTATCTGGACATTTCTCTGCACTTCAGTATCCCCCTAGGTCCCTCTGGCTCCGGTAACTCAATCCTTCTGGACGAGGTCCAAGGAGGACATCGAATATCAAGTTTACTTTGAAACAAAGATTGTTAGATTAGCCAAGAGTGTTCTACGCTGTAGATCATTCATGGACAGTGCTAAAATCGGCATCGTGCTCGATTACTGCGTTTGGTGGATCTGTTCTGGAAAGATTCACTAAATAGACCCAGACGAGTTCTACGGAACATTCCGTAATCTCTTCCTCTTACCCTTCCTGTCAAATCAATTTCTACTTGGTGATCCAACTGTTAACTGTTTTCCTTCTATTTATAGGTCCTCTGAAAAATCTCTTGTCACTCCCATTTTGATTTGCTCACCTTAGGTCACTCATGCACTCATTTTAACAAACGCGTGGGGAGTTCCTGCGTTATGTAAGACCCAGTGCTGGGGGCAACATGAAAGGCGAAGGAGGCAAGACCCTGCCCGTGTCTGCGAACACGCCGTGGCAGACGGCACGTGTGCGGGAACTGCCGTGTGGGCACCTGGCTGGCGCTGTATCCGAGAGAGGCTCTAAGGGCTGCCCCACAGTCCAGATGGGACGTGTCCTGCCCGGGGCACGAGAGGGCCAAACCCAGGACTACCACCCGGCTGAGGGGCGGGCGGGCCCTCTGGGGGAAGGAACGTGCCGACGGGGTCCTGGTGGGTGGCTGGCTGGCTCTGAGGAACTGCTACATGTGGTGAGTGAGCCGAGGGAAGGCAGTGAAGTTGGAGATAACTGGCTAGAGTGAGGGGTGAGTCGTCCTAAACCGCTGGCTTGGCCGCCATCCACCCACTCGTGGTCCCGATTCTGCAGCACCTGATGTCATTCTGGATGGGTCCCTCAGACTCCAACCTTTAAGGTCTAGGAATCGCGGGGTTCTAAAATCATAACTAAGTTAACCTACCTACTTAATTCTGGTGGAGGTCATTTCCAGAAAAATCACTGATGACTTTAAAAACCACTTTAATTCCCTTTATGAGCCACATTAATATGAAAAGTGTGTTTTTTATGTTTTTTTAAGTTTATTTATTTTGAGAGAGAGTATGCATGAGCGGGGGAGGGGCAAGGTGAAAGACAGAGAGAGAATCCCCCGCGGTCTCCACCCTGTCGGCACAGAGCCCGATGCAGGGCTAAAACCCACGAACCGTCAGATCATGACCTGAGCCGAAATCAAGAGTCGGACACCCAACAGAGCCCCCCAGGCACCCCTGAAAGGAGTGTTCTCTAACGTGATGTATAATTTATGGTGCCAGAGACCTGAAATGCTGAGCGTGGACAGAGGACCTGACACAGGACAAAGAAAATCTAAGATGGGTGACACAAGGCTCCATGGCCAACTGCCCACAGACCGTCACACGGGCACGAGGGTGGGGACCCTGCTCCAGAACTTGATGCTGGCTCTGCAGGGGCACGCACTCCATGTGACTGCAACGTGCAGGGGCCCCGACGACCGGACGGTCCCCATGTGAAACAGTGCAACACAGACCTGGAGATAAACCCTGAGGACAGCAGAGACACAACACGCTTGGGGCCGGCTGGGGTCTCTGAGATCTTCTGGGCGTAACATGTGTCTTACCTGGTCCGGTCTGAGGGGGGTCGCCACCTCCATCCGAAGAGCACAACCCCACCCCTGCTGAGGTTCCCTGCCTGTAAGCGTACCTGTGCCCACGCCCTGCTCCCTGCCGAGAACACCCGGCCCCATCCAAGCCCCGCGCCCTCTGGGGTGGCCCGCCAGCGGGCTCCAGGGAGGCCATGACAGGTGCCAACATCTCAACCTCCGTGCCGGCCCGTGCCAGCCACCCGGCACCGGCCTCATGGTCCGTCTCTACAAACCTCCCACCAGACCCGCTCCCCACCAGGCGCCCCTTACGCCATGTGTGTTCCCTCTGACAAAAACCAGCTGTCTCCGCACACGGCTATCCTGGCCCCTCCGGGCCCACCAGGCCCCGGCCTCTCTCATAAGCAAGGCCGTGTGCAGCCACCAGGCTACCAAATCCGAAGGTCTGTCTCAGGCCATCTCTCGGGCCGTCAGCAGCTCTGACAGCCCCGTGACACTCCCCCCGCGTAGCCCCCAACTTCTCCCTCCCCTGACTGCCCTCCTCCAGTTACCATCTCGCCAGGGGGCGAGCTCTAACTGCCGCCCTCATGCTATGGGCTCCCAAGCGTGCGCCTGCCCTCCACCTGCCCCTCCGGCTCTCCACAGGGAGGAAGACTGTGCCACCTCGTCCACAACACTGTTCTGGCCTCTCCCCCAGGCCCCGCCCCCCACCCCCCACCCGACCCACGGCTTAGGCCGCAGCCTCTGGCTGATTTCTTTCTCTCACTCCCCACCCGGTCAGCTCTGCCCTGCGAGCATTCCCAGCACCCTGCCCTGGCCTGAGCCCCGGACTGCCCCCCTGAGCTGCCACTCTTGCCCCTCCCAGGACAGCGCGGGTGACTTGTCCTGGTCAGAGCCGTTCACAAGGGCCAGCGTGCCGGAAGAAAGCGGCCCCCGGCGAGGCCGCAAAGCCTGCCGCGTGGGGTCCCACCCGGGCCCCTCCTCTGCTCCACACACACCTGGCCTTGCTGCTCCCCAAAGCCTCGGGTGCCTGGCGCGTGCACTGCTCCTGCTTCTCGCCGAGGTCCTCTCGTGAGTCCTCCTGCCCTTCCTTCAGGAGTCTGCCCCGGTCCTCACCACCCCTGCTGCGTACCCACAGCACACGGCCGTGTCCCCTGCTCCCTCCTCTCTGGCCCATATGCTCTAGTCCAAATCTAGTCCGATTTATTACTATGAACATTCTAGAACACATTTAATGTCAGCCTCCCAGCCCAGGAACAGGAGCCCCGAGAGTAGAGCCTTTCCCTGTTCACAGCTGTCTCCTCAGACCGAGAAAGATGCTGGCCACAGCAGAGACTTGGTAAGGATTTTTTAATGTCACGTGAACACACAATGTCCCTACGTAAACACCCGATGTCAGAGGTCTCGGTGTCACCTATAGGTAATGACTGAATTTTTGTCTCTGGCTGAGACCTGTGTATGTCCCTCCTCACTGTGACTCCCACTTGGCGACCTAACAAGCACCTCCAACTCAACAGAACAGAAGTCTAGACTGCAAGCCCAGGCTCCCCGCGGTGCACCCACCGCCGCTGCCTCACTGCCATTGCCAGAAGCACCGAAATCTATTCTTTTCTTCCCCTTGCCCCTCTACCCAATCCACCGTCCAGCCCCGTGCTTCCTATCTCCAAATTACGGCTCCCCGCTGACGGCCACCACCAGGGGCCAGCCTCCACGCCTGCTCCTCACCGTCCCCCTCCTGCCAATCTCCGATGAAGTCTCCACACAGAACCAAGGTGAGCTCCGAGAGGTTGCTCAGGTTGCTAATGTCCTGCCTAAAGCACTTCAATGGCTTTCTGTCATGCCTAGAATAACTCGGGCGACAGCATGTGGTCCCTCTGGTCCCCGTCCCCAAGCTGGCTCAGGGCCTCCTTTGCAATCTCATTTTACACCTGCACCTCTCCACGGTCACCCCGGGCCCCTCCGGCTCCACAAACATTGCTCCCTGGCCCATTCCGAGGCCTCGGCATGTTCCGCTCCCTGAGACCAGAATGCTCTTCCACCGGCCCTTCCCACGCTTGAGGCTTCGGCTCCAATGGCGCTTCTCCATAGAAGCCTTTCCCGACTGTTCTAAAGAACGTGCTACCCCCACCTGTGATGCTTCACCCTGACTGATCCACAATGTCCACAGCGTGCATTGTAGCCTACACATCCGTCCTGCTGGAGGGGGGACACGCGTCCCCTTGCTCACATTCATCCTGCCGGGGCGTGGCAACATGTCTGTCCCCTGGCTCACTGCCGTCCACCACACGCTGCTGCCCGGCAGGCACGCACCCAACACCTGCTGACTGAAACCCTGCTTCCGGAGGGTAGACACAGCAGATGCCCTTTCTGAACTACAATCTAAAATAGCACCCAACAGGGGCGCCTGGGTGGCTCAGTCGGTTGAGCGTCAGACTTCAGCTCAGGTCACAATCTCACGGTTTGTGGGTTCGAGCCCCGCATCAGGATCTGTGCTGACAGCTCAGAGTCTGGAGCCTGCTTCGGGTTCTGTGTCTCCCTCTCTCTGCCCCTCCCCTGCTCATTCTCTCTCTCTCTCTTAAAAATAAAACATTAAAAAATTAAAAAGAACACTAACTTAAAAAAAAAAAAAGCTTAAGAAAATAATAAAATAGCACACAACAGAAAAACAAGCTTGTAAACAGTTTTTCCATTTATTCTGTGTTATCCCCACTTCTCTAAGGCTCAGGGAAATATACTTCCCCGAGAAAGGAACAGATTTGTTGGTGTCTGCAGCCTGGGACAGGGCCTGGCCCGGGCCAGAAGACCTGACTACTCACAGGCACCAGGAGGCGCTCATGGAGAGTGGCTTGTGTTTCCACACAAGAGGCTAGAAGACCAGGGGCTGGGGTGCTTAGGCCTGGCTGAGCGTCCACTGCCCAGCCAAGGGGTCACGGCCTCAAGGGTCTGTGAGCCTGAGCCCCCTGCAAGTTTGTGGCTCTGGGCTGATGCCCAGAGCCTGGAGCCTGTTTCCCATTCTGTGTCTCCTCTCTCTGCCCCTCCCTGCTCATGCCTGTCTCTCTCTGTCCCAAAAAAAAAAAAAAAAAAAAAAGAGGCTAGAAGACCAGGTTTTAGGAGAAACACTATTGGCTTATCCATGTGAAAAGTAACTGGTCTTTATCTCTCTTTATACTCCACTATCCTTCCAAAAAGACACAATAAAGTAGGACCCTGATGACGAACCAGGACAGGACGCGAAGCAGAAGAGGGGGACACTGGCAGAGGGAAAGGCAAGATGAAGACGTGCACAACCACGGGGCCCAAGCTCCAAATTCTACTGTGCTTACGCTTCCAGGGGCTGTTAACAGGGACATTACGGTTACAGAAAGGGCAAACTGTTGACAGAATCGAGCGGGTATTCAGCACAGAAAACAGAAGCCAAAGGAAGGCATGACCAGATCTTTTATGAGCTAAGGGCTATCATGCTCCTCCCGTCCGACCTCCCCTTCTCCGGGCCATCGTCACCAGCACAGCTGTCACCACCAGCCTCCGTGGGCCCTCCCTCGAGGGCACGGCCAATGCCACCACATCTCCTCGTCAGCCTGCTCTCCACACTCCCCAGCCCACCTGCCACCCTGCCCCTCTGATTCTCAGTTGGCAACAGTGCCCCTTTACCAAGACCGTCTCCAAATCCTGCCGCCTGATTTATAAGCTGCCGGCCCCTGCCCCCTCCTGCTGCCCCCACTTGGCTCTCCATCCCTCTCTGCTCAGAATGAGGGGGTGGCCCCACCACTCTATCCAGCCCCTCCTCACTGACCCCACCGCCACACAAACCGGGCCCCGAGCTCTACAAGCGTGTTTCCGGCAGGGAGGTCACCCATGCGCTCGGCTGCCTCTTCCCGCACGGCTGGTAGGCGGCTGGACTTGGCCTAGCCCTTCTCCCCCTGTCCTTCCAGGTGGCAGGTAAACGGGGGGACGAGCTCTCAGCCTGGCAGCCTCCCCTCCAGAGCCTCCCCACTCCTCTTGGCCAGTTCTACTCCTCCCTCGCTCACTCCCTCAGGAAGTCTGCTGTCACCCCCAGGCCCGGGAGGAGCTTGACAGCACCCCTCACAGCTCCACACTAGGTGACACCGCTGTTAACAACTTTCCCGCTGAGTTTCTCAAGCATCCGTGACGGCGGGCTCACATCCGCCTCGTCTACCAGTTACCCCCGACCCGGCACAGCCTGCACAGTGCAGAGGGGACCGTCACCCCTCCTGTGGCGGACCCAGAGCAGACCACCTCGGAGACTTTCCGGATTCTGGCGCTCGAGGCAGAGTGGCCATGCCTGCAGGTCCCTGCAGCAGATGAGAGGGATGAGCTTTCCCCATCTGATGCTGGCACAGGCGGCCAAGCAGGTTAGGGACCCGTCGGGAGACCCCAGGCTTAGAGCCACTGTGGGCTTGCCTAAGGTAACCTAGGCAAGGTGAACTAGGAAAACTTAAGGCCCCTCTGTAACCGCCACGCTGGGGCATGTGTGACGCTCACCTTTTCCTTGGTTGTGTTCCAATCTGCTTGACAGACTTCTCTTCCGTGTAAAAAAGCAGGCTTCTTTGTAGTGTAGACACGAGCAGAACTTTCTGGCTATAATCCAGCTGCACGATTGAAGATGGCTCTTCTAACACCAAATGGGAGTTACAGACGCCCTGTGGGAGAGGCCAGTTAAACCCAACTCAATGTGGAGTCAATTTACACCTTAAAATGTATGCTGTTCATTCCCAACAGATTCAATGTCAACCCACTATGATGAAATTATTTGGAAAAATTCTTACTAATGAGAAAACAATGTCAACACCTACCTCAGGTTCCATCAAGTTTGACAAGAAACGTTTAAAGGTTTTGTATAATTTCTTTTAAAATGTTTTCAGGGGAGCATTCAAAGAAGAGTCCATAAAGGCCAAAGCGGAAACGTATTGCACTAGGACTATTGTTTACACTAATAGAACACAACAGGACTTTCCATAAGATTATTTGTGACAACTATCACCTAAGGTCACAAGACACTCATCCCCCCAAAGAGCTCAAAGCAATTTTGGGGACATTATATCCTTGCCAACTGAAAGGGTCATAAAAAACAGAAGAAACTGAAATGGTGGTAAATATATTGAAGAACAAAGTAAAATTCTAGAAGGCATTTTACTGCTAACACAAACTCTAATTCTTGGTGTCAAAAGTCTGTTTCTGTATGTTACTTTTCTCCTGAACCAGTTTCTTCAATTGAGTAAGAAAAACTGATGCTCTATCGCAGAACTTTTGGGGGTGGGAGAGAAAAGCAGCAATCAGATATACTGGTAAAATTTACATACAATAAAATTTACCTGTTCAAGATACACAATTCTATGGATTTTGGCGAACACATACAGTCCTATAACCACCGACACCATAACGATAGAGCGATTCTCATTCTCCCCGGACACTGAGTGCTTTTAAAGCAGATTTTCCGGGCACCTGGGTGGCTCAGTCGGTTGAGCGACTGATTTCTGCTCGGGTCATGATCTCATTCATGGTTTGTGAGTTCAAGCCCCGCGTTGGGCTCTGTGCTGATAGAACCTGGAGCCTGCTTCAGATTCTGTGTCTCCCTCTCTCTCTGCCCCTCCCCCTTGGTCTCTCTCTGTCTCAGAAATAAATAAACATTAAAAAAAAAAGCAGATATTCCTCCACATTTGTCGTTACATAAACTGTAGCTTTTCAGTTTTTGACTTATGATGGAACTCAATTCATTGTATTAATTTTGCAAAATCGCACACACTCCCATACCTATTTATGTAAATCTCTTTGTACTTTATCTTAAAAAAAAAAAAAAAAAAAAAAAAAAAAAAAAAAAAAAAAAACTACCAGAACCTATCAATAAAGCTGGGAAAAAAAGTTCTCAGTGTGACAAGGATACTGTTTTCTGCATGTGGCTTTCTCTCTACTTCCTGAAATGCAGGCTCACGAGCAGTGCTGCCTGAAAGCCTCAACAGAAGGGAGGTACGACACAGGGACCCTTAATAACCTAAGGCTTTCCTACAGAACAGGTTCTCAAAGTATGGTCTGCAGTCCTCAAGGGTCTCTAAGACCCTTTCAAAGGGTCTGCAAGGTGAACATTATCTTCATTATAACGCTAGGATGCATCTGTCTTTTTCACTGAGCTGACATTTGCTCTGACACAAAAGCCACGGTGGGCAGAACGGGGCACTGAGCCCACTATCTGTCACTGTGCCCTCCACCACCACGCACTCATGACAAAAACGCGCGTTTCACTGAAGACGGTCTCTGTGGCAGAACAATTATAACTGCACCACATCCTTGCTTGTGGGTATGCACGGCTTTGTATTTTGTGTGACAGAGTGGCCCGGCTGCTGCATCCTGAGGTTCTCTGGTTCACTCAAGGAAAAGCACTTGTTCAACACTAAAAGCTGTGAGCTCAACCAGTGGCTTCCCCCCCCTCCCCCCACAGGACACCAATTTACCGGACATACTAGAATTACTCAAACTTGGGTATTTGGCAGACATTTTCAAGATGGACCAAATGGACCTTGTCACTTTAATGACAACGAGTAATCGTGTGCATTACTGACAATAAATACCAAGTTTTCAACTGAAGATTAGAATTGAAAACTTTAGGGGCGCCTGGGTGGCTCAGTCGGTTAAGTGTCCGACTTCAGCTCAGGTCACAATCTCACGGTCCGTGAGTTCGAGCCCCGCGTCGGGCTCTGGGCTGATGGCTCAGAGCCTGGAGCCTGCTTCCGATTCTGTGTCTCCCTCTCTCTCTGCCCCTCTCCCGTTCATGCTCTGTCTCTCTCTGTCTCAAAAATAAATAAAAACGTTAAAAAAAAAATTAAAAAAAAAAAAAGAATTGAAAACTTTATCCACACTTGTGAACTTGACCAATTCCCAGTAGCTAAAGACTTTTCTGATCAGGATGATCATGATATTAACAAAGATGCCTTCTCTGATATTATATAATCAAAATTGACACATTTGAAAAGATCTGCGTCCCTCAGTAGATCAAATGACTGAGCCACCCAGACACCCCTGGGGTCCTCCTTTTAAGCGTGTAGAAGGGTCCTGAGACCAAAAACTTCAAGAACTACTGCTAGAGAAAACTTGTAACAGGGTAGTCTTGGATCAGAGGGACTAAACGCCAGTTGGTCAGTAATTGCTAAATTTCTACAATGCGCGAGGAACGCCCAGTCTCGCGGGGCCCGGTCTGTGTCCCTCACGTGACGAGGTGCAGCACAGGGGCGCACAGAGCCACACACGCGGCGGGAAAGGCGTGGGCTTTAGAGCAGAAACTCAGTGTGGAACCCGCGGGGGACCCAGGGCTGGTGACTGGGTCACGGAGCCTGGGGGTTCTTCATCTCCCGACCGGAGGGGAGCACGCACGGCTCAGGATGAAACAAAACAGCAGACACGCGGGCTGGGCCCTCCTCCTCCTCTGCCACGCCCTCCCACGTGAGGGGCGGGGCCTGGGCGGGGCTTGGCCGGGGGCGGAGCTCTCCACCCAGAAAGCACTGACCTCTGTCCAGGCCACAGTTATGATTACGCAATGCTGCCCGCGGCTCCTGCACACCCTTCTGGGAGACCAGAATGACATGGCGTCTTTTTCTCAGGACCCTTCCACATGCTTAGACACAGGAGGATGAACACTGTGAAGGAAGGCTCCAGTGGAGACAAAGGCCAACCCTTTAGTCACAGGAGGGGAAGCTTAGAAAAGTGAGAGACGTCCTTGAAGGCAAACATTACAAAATAATCGTTGACATTATGAAGGGGCAATGACTGAGCATGCAAACTGTTTGACTAAAATGTAATTATGGATATAATTTCTCCAAATATAAGAAGGCCAAAAATATTTCTGGAAACAGTTTTACCTGGTCTAGATCCAGAGAAGAATAGACAATTTTCCCTTTGTCATCTCCAGAGAACAATTTCATTCCATTGGGGCTCCAAGCCAGAGCTGTTATGCTATTTTTGTGAATACCGGTGACATCAAATCTCCGAAGCTAGGAACGAACGATAAAAATGCGCACAAGAAAGAAAAGATGTGAGATGGGGCTCGTGGCCAAGGGATTATACAGTCCCTCCTACCTACGGAGAAGCTGGTTTTCCCAACCTTGTTTTCCACGCAAAAGCCTGCACAAGGTTCCATCTGGGCATTTATTTTAAAACTGATAGAGGATGGCCAGAGAATATTAAGCAAAATTTAAATTACCCAAATGCGCATTCTGCCAAGCATCCTATCAAGAACAAAAATGGTATCTGATTATAAAAAGCATAGGGTTAAGCTTTTCTGAGCGTGTGTTTTCTGGGTAGATGAGTTTTCATTTTAAAATCCACGAGGAACGGGCCAAGAAGTTAAGAAATGCTAAAGTGACTCGTACTTACTTGTTTATTTCTCCCTGGCAAGGAAGAGACAAGCTGAAAAACAGCAACTCTCCCGGAGGCTGTGCCCGCGGCCACGAGGTCGTCGAAGCAGGCCAGCAACTTCACCACTGTGATGGGTTCCGTTTTCCCCTAAGAGAGCAAATGTTAAAGACAAATGGACCTGTAACCAGGCTGGCTTCCGAGACGCAAACATCACCCGTGAAGGCGGAAGGAGGCGGAAGCTTCATCAGGCTGCAGCCTATACAAAGTCCTGATCGAAAATGTGTACAACTCAGAAAAACAATGACATCTGTTAAACCCTCCTTTTTGTTTCTAGATCTTTATTACTTTTTAAGTTTATTTATTTTGAGAGAGAGAGAAAAAAAAAAAAAAAGCAAGAGCAGGGGAGGGGCAGAGAGAGAAAGAGAACGAGAATCCCAAGCAGGCTCTTTGCTGACAGCTGTGGGCCCGAGGTGAGACTTGAACTCCACATACCATGAGATCATGACCTGAGCCAGAGTTGGACACTTAAATAACTGAGCCACCCAGGTGCCCCTCTAGGTTTTTAATCTTTGAAATGACAAATGAAAAAACTACATTTCTAATGAAGGAAATGCTGATCAATTGAGTGTGAATATTCTAAGTACTGATCAAGAGAGTACCAGGGGCTTGGAGAGCTGTTTCCTGCCCAGAACAGGAATCTGGAGTAAGAAGAGCTTATCTACCCCAGATCCAAGCTCTGCTTTCTTCTCTTAACATGGACAAGTCATTCAATCACTGCAGTTGACGGTCTGCCTGCAGCACAGGCTTGCTGCACGGATCCAGGAGGTGATGCATCTGAAATTTGTTCTTAGATCAATAATCAAATTAAGTAACGCTAACTCAAACTTAATACATTGCTATACTTAAAAGCACATGTACAAGGGGCGCCTGGGTGGCTCAGTCGGTTAAGCGTCTGACTTCAGTTCAGGTCATGATCTCACAGTTCGGGAGTTCGAGCCCTGCATTGGGCTCTGTGCTGACATCTCGGAGCCTGGAGCCTGCTTTGGATTCTGTGTCTCCCTCTCTCTCTCTCCCCCAAATAAATAACAAAAAATTAACAAAAAAAGCACACGTACAAGCACTGCACACAGATACTCAAGGCTTCCAGGCCCACTGAGTGAAACCATTCATTCAGAAAACTCACGCAACCATTTGACCCCGCTAAGATATATGGCAAGAGCTCCAATAAAACACTTTGATCCCTATATTTGGATGCAGTAATTTACACGGTATTCAATCTATCAAATGTGGAGGTATACCCTCCACATTCAGGGTACAGAGTCAGCTGCTATGGTAACATAAACTGAAGTAGGTCGCAGTCCCGCCCTCTTAAAGCTGAGCTGTGGCAATGAGCCGGGCACATGAAAAGCCGCCTACAGCCAGTGGGGGTGGTGATGACTGCGCTTGCTTTCATCTGGTACTTTACAGCTTTCAGGGTATTCTCAGGGGCTCTAAATATATCTGATGAGATCGTGATGTAGGGGAAGGGCTTTGGATCTTAAGCTATAGGAAGGCAAAGGGGAGCCCAGGAAGATTCCTGACTTTGCCAGTGTATGGTCAGAAGTGTTTCTGATAACCCTGATCGGGTGTAGCACAGAAGGAGGAGGAAGTGCGACCAGGCGGCGAGACCAGCCGGGGGCCTTTTGCTATAGTTCGGGCCGGAGGCCGGAGGTCATACGTGCCTCGTGGAGAGAAGTGGCAAGCTGAACGGGCAGGAAGGCAGTAAACCCTGATGGAGAAAGAAGACTCTGTTAAGACCTGTTTGCCATGATGACAGCACCAAGGAGAACAGCACAGCGGCTCTCCTTTACTGAGCATTCTGAGCCAGGCGACCTGGTAAGCGCTTCACATGCATTACCTCCTTGATTCCTCACGCATCCGTGAGGGCAGGTGCTGTGGTTTTCTTCGTTTGACAAAGGTTAAGTGGTTTGTGTAAGGACACAGCACCGGAGGAGTCAAGAGTTGGGATTCACGCCTAAGTGTGACCGGAGGCCCTGCCTCGCTGCTCTCTGCGCTGAGTGGGAATCCGCACGCCCCGCAGATGGGAGGCTCGGGAGGCTTGGCAGGCTTGTGGAGAAGAAGGAAAATAAGGGGACTTTATCATCTGCGGCGTGGAAAACACGAGTGCTGATGCTGTGAGCAGAATCCACTGGCGCTGCTCTGAGGAAAGACAGTGCCAGAACATGCTTTAGACGTGGACAGTGTTGACATGGCAGCAGGCTGGTGAAGACAATACTGTCCTGCGAATTCATAATTATTAGAACTGCCACCACATCAGGAATCAAGATCCCTTATTGGAGACCTTGCCGTGTCATAGCACAAAGCGGTGGTGTAATTTTTCTGAATGAGTGGTTTCAAAATAAAAATCATCATTCAGGTGGGCTGGAAGCCTGAGTATCTATGTGCGATGCATGTACACATGCTTTTTAATAAACTAACATTGTGACTTAACGCTATTTAATATGATCATTAGTGTTACAGTTCTTAAGAACCAAAACATCGCAAGAATCAGAATATCAATACTTAGCTATACTTTAGATGGAAACAAAATACGAGGCTTCAACTTCCTATAGTATGAGTGTAGCTATTCTGAAAAAACGTTCCTCTCCAAACATCTAGAAATGCTGAGTAAGATACACAAAACACCCTTTTAAATGCATAGCTGATCTCTAGGAAGTAAAAATCAACAGAGGCCAAAGCCGATAAGAATACTGTCAAACCAGACCAGAAGGCAGCCCTGAAGCTACGGGCTGCCTCAGAACTGTCTGACCAACACCAAGAGCCTTGGTTTCCTGAGCTGAACAGGGCTAAATGCGGACAAGGCTTCAGGCCAGATGAGGTGGGAACTGGAACGGCCATCCCCTGCAAAAGCCCCTGAAGACCCCCTGAAGGCCTAACCATCAAAGTGTAAACTAGGGAAAAATCAATTTGCTGGCAAATGGAGCTGACAAGGAACTCTGTCTTCTCTCAGACATTGGCTAGAGTGAATAAAAGAGAAGAATGTTCCCCAAGAATCTGTCACCACCAGCCTGCCCTATTCAGCATCTGAGTTTGAATTTATCTTCTGTTTCCACTCAAAAAGAGCTCCATGCCAGGCAGTTGACCTGAAGTGCATCTATGTTAGCTGCACGCCAAGAGGCCTGGCAGAGGGAGTCTAAACCCCATCTGTGGGACACAGTCTCGACCCAGGTCCCTCAGATTCACACGTATTAGGACCAGTCACAGAGCTTCTAATTAGAAACCACCATGAGAAAAAGGCCCCATGAAGAAGAATCAACTAAAAAAACACAGTAACAGGGACTCCTGGGTGGCTCAGTCGGTTAAGCGTCTGACTTCGGCTCAGGTCATGGTCTCACGGTTTTTGAGTTTGAGCCCCATGTTGGGCTCTGTGCTGACACCTTGGAGCCTGGAGCCTGCTTCGGATTCTGGGTCTCCCTCTCTCTCTCTCT